TTCATAGGTTCTGTGACACCACCTCCAGACAGTATAGGTCACAGGTCAACAAGTTTATTGACGGATATAAACATAAAACAACAAACAATACAACATACATGATACATGGTCAATAATAAATACATCGATGTTAAGGGAAACACATAATGGCGATGTCTTGTGATCATCTCATCTGACACATGACTATCTGTTAAATATACATTAAAAGAGTAGTACACTTTTGATAACAACAATACACATGAACGAAGACATACAAATATTGCTAATTTAGGGATTATAATACCATGGCCACTCCATGATGTAGACGCTATGCTTTCATTGTATTCTCTTCTGTATACCCAGTGGGTAATTTCTTATAAGGCAAAAACATATAATACATTATTGAATTTACTGAAGTCACCTGAAGTTACGTTACTCCAACTCTCTTAATGGATATAGAACAAATATAATTGACTCTTTTTAGTTTAAAGACATTTCAGTTTAGATTGAAAAGAGCCCTCACACATCGCATTTCAGAGTGATAATAAAATGCAAATAGGAGAAATTTTCATTTGATAAAAATTAGTATGTATGCAAATTATCAAAAGCAACCTATTTTAGTTACAGGTATGCTACCAAATAGATAAATCAACATTCATCACAGGTGTGTGGTATGCGTGACCCTAGCAACCAAGCCAATTATAATAAAAACCAACATCAAAACAGCATTTTTGTTAACTTGAACATAAATTGACACTTAATTGAATATATAGAACATTTTGATACCTAGCAACCCGTATCAACCAATTCCAAACGATATGTCACTATGAGACACAATTCATACTTAGATTATACATTCATTTTTTTGAAATCTTGTTGCTGGGTATGTTTCTAGCAACCACTGACATATTCATAGAAACGTGGATTCAATAGCCTATTGGCCCAAGCCGATAATGCAGCTATATTTTATTTTATTTTATATGATATTTTATTATTTATTACTGACAGTGTTTTTAAAAGACCCACAAGGTGCGATAGTTAAAATAATACAAAATAAGATGTACTTAATAATAATAAAAATACAAAATAATTGAAAACTAGTGCTATTAAAATGAGATTTAAAAAAAATCACGCTGTATAATCGGATTAACAATTTTCACGTAGATCCCAGTTTAACTGTATAAGGTATACACATCATATATTTGATTTGAAATGTATAGGGTTGGTTATACGTGTGTCCAGTTGTAGGCTTTCATATTCAGTCGATGAAAAAGATGATAATAATAATCATTCATGATGAAGTTCAGATTCGGGGCATTATAATCTAGAGAACGCTCTATGTAAATAGATAACCTGTTATCGGAGATAATTATGAAGGTGTACATTGAAGATTAAACAACACGTGGGATATATCAATGTTTTATAAATATATAAATGTAAAGTGAGGTTAAAGATCTTTATATACATAGCCATGGCAACGTGAGTATTTAATGTCGAAAGTCCTTCAAATGCATTTTTTTATCGATCGAAGATCTATTTTTAGAATAATGATTGAAGGAGTGAAAATTTCAAATGAGCGAAATGTATAAGCAAGGGAATTCCTTGTAACATTGCATATTAGCTCAAACTTAAAACCGTCAAACATTTAATCGATCAATTTAAATGAACTTTGATTTACAATGTTGCCATGTACATAAAATCTATGAACCAGCTGTCATTCAATGTTTTTCCAAGTGACGTGGCATATTTAAGTAATATATATGATGTTTTATAGTGCACTTGGTGGCCCGTGCGAATAGCACAGATGTCTGGTTTGTGAAGACAATGCCACACATTAGCGTAACGGGATTAGCACAATTTGATATAGTTTGTTATTCTATAAAACACGCAAATAACGAATAAATAACGTCTATTCTTTTTAAAGCCTTTCGCGGAGCACTGTGTGCAGATTTACGAAGATGTTGGATATGGATATATTCAGAATGAGGATTAAACTGTTACAATTTAATTCATAGTACTTGCTCCGTTTCACATAAGTGTTGTGTGTTAACATCTCTGTAGAGTATTAATATTACATATTTCATGTTAATATTTTGAATAATCTGGCGCACCACATTGCAAAATAATCGCATGAACGGTTGCATTTATGACGTGCAATTTTCTGTATTACTTGACAGATGCGCGAAGGCAAAATAACTAAAAGACATTTTTTATTTTACCCATTTATCATTAGCATAGTTTATATAAGAACGCCACATGATAGTTAATGCATATCTTCATCGGCGCCTCTTTTGTGGTTGGTCTTCATTTAAAATAATTTTACAATGACAACACTTCAATTTAAATGATGTAGATTCCCATGTATTGATAACTATAGCGTGACGCATTATCTTCAATTAGACTTTAATTGGAGTGACAACCTTGGACGGAATCCTCATTATATGTGTCGATGCTTTGAAGGAACCGTTATACAAATACGCGGAAATGTGATAATCAGTGATTTTCTGATCCCCGATTTTATTTTTTTATTCCCGGAACGCGTCCTTGTACAGTTCATCAAGGGTCATGTGCGGAACGTTCCGCCGATCAATAGATCATTCAGTTCACCTCTCCTCAGCGCTGTGATGAGTGGATAGATGGATGAATCACCATTCTCGCTTCTCGTAACTCGTATCTTATTGATAAGGCTGTAATCGTGATGCAAGCTATACAAGAATATGTATACCCAAGTCTCGCAATGGCGCCAGCTAGGAATAAATCATATCTCGGAGTATTTAGTCGGTTAACTTTATTTTGTCAATCTTTACAAGAGCTAATTCAATTTTAGAAGTTACAAGTAAATAGTCGATGTTGTTTTTCCTCTAGTACTCTGTCCTTGTATGTAATTGCAGGCACACTATTTACGTGTACTCGACATGGCCACAGATACCATTCGATGTGTTCTATGTATAGGGAATACATAACGTCTTTCTGTTATACATTTGTAGACAGTTGTGTCGCAAATGACATTAATTCCTCGTACACGAATTGTGTCTCTGTAGTCCGAATCACGTTGTACATACATACAATCATAGTGTACATACACACTATCCTACGTGCAATCTGTAACTGTTGTATATTACGATCTACGTATTAAACACAACCGAGTATGGCTTATATTAAAACATACCAAATTATGTCACATTGGTTATATCCAAACGTGAAATATTTTCCCCCAATACTGTGATAAACGGAACTATTTAGAAACGTCATTAGTGTCGTGCGATGAAGACTGCAAATAACACAATATCAAACGAAGACACAATCATAATATTAAAATTATAAAAATCGATTTTATGGGATATTTATATACATTTATACAACCCACGCACTGGGGATTAATTCTTTCCGCAAATTGATTTTAGTAAACCCGCGAAGCTCATTTAAAGAGGTCAACTCGTCATTTTGAAAAAAAAATGAAATTTGTTACTGCTATCACCAGTATGTGTTGTTTTTTGGGAGGGGCTCACTTATATATACACAACCAAAAACGGAGTCATTTTTACTTCCCCAAAATATGCAGACGAATCAGGCAATGGCGTTGCTTGAATCGTCTGGTTATTTGATAAAATTACAAAAGTTCTGTTCAATTTATTTTTTCAGCTGGTATCGTACCAATTGTTACACAAAAAAATTTTGTTACCAAAACGGATACCCTTTTTCATTTGTAAACAAAAAGTAACCCTCCCTAATTCGTAGACGAGTCGGGAAATAACATTTGATCTCATTAGGTATCCCTATTAAATGCATTTTTGTTATTTCAGTACATTTCAATGAGCTATAGAAAACGCCGTTAAAGTATTATTCATAGCATCGCCGTATGTTTTGTATTATGTAAGTAAATTATAAGGTTTGGACTTTTTCTGAAAAGATTGGCATCGGTTATGTCTGCTGGGCCAATACAGCTGTCACATAATTGTAACGCGTATAAACAAAACAACAGCGTTTTAAAAACATGTTTTTATCTTCATCGTGAAATACTGCGTTCAAGGATTTTTCGCCTGATTCATTGCTCAGATCGTGCCGACCGTAAATTAATTCTTTAAATTTACAGCGTGGAATTAAAGAATCACTCACATTTGATGCTACATATCTTATCCCAGGTTGCTTTTGTATTCTAAAATCGATCGACACTTTGAATAGCCTGTGAATGATAACCAAGCGACGTCATGAGTACGACTTTCTTTTCAGTATTTTCATTGGTCGTTTAGTAATATCTGACAAGGATTAAAACACAATGTGTTGGAAAGTCAAGGTTTTAATACAACACTTACAAATGTTACCTGCATGTATTTGCTGCTAACAGTATTTAACTCATAAAATGAATATAATTAAACAAAAACATATGATATCAGTATCGCAATCAATGTGATATACTATACACTATTTACATTGAACTTGAAATTAGTAGATAAATTCTCATTAATTATTCAAACAATTGGTATGTTTGTTAATTACATTTTATTGCACAGTATGTAACAAACTAGAATAAATATGTATCTACTAGCGATTGCTGATTATTAAATTCTAATTGCCGCGCTAAACGTCTAGGAGTATACATGACGTAACCTAGCAACCGCTACACAATTCATGTTTTCTTCCATAAATTTGACGTGAGGAGGACAGCTGATATTGCCATGGCATACACAAGTTTTCTGCAAAATAATTCCCAATATAAGTTCGCCATTGTTTGTTGCAATAGTATCAAATGACAAAACCAGTTTAACAAACAGCTGTGTCTTGTGTCAAAGTGATTCAGCTGAATGTATCACGTACAAGGGCCTCCAGAGCGGATTTGAAACAACTACATATCAATGAAGCGAATACTGCACATCCGTGTCACACCAAAATGCTTTATAATTGTTTAGTTTGTTTAAATGAAACCTGGGAAAAGTCAATATAAAATTATATATATATATATATACGTTATGAAAATTAAAAACAAATAGCGCTAAAGATTTGAATTACGGAGAATTATTATGTCAGTTGTTCTTGTTGGTCTTGATTTGGTTATAACTGGTCATCTCGGTATTGGTTGGTGAATTTCTCCCGTAATGCGAGGACCCGGGGCAGCATTTTTGATTTCTACAATTAAACGCGTCCATGAACGCCTTTCGGTATAATGAACTTAAAGCATTGTAAACAACTGGATTGGCCGAGGAATTTATTTCCAGCAGAAAAGTGCTAGCGTTCGTAAGACACATAATGAGGTCGTCTGACAGCGTGAACGAGTTGAGGTCTTGTAGCAAAAGGATGAATGCCTGCAGAACGGCCGGCATGGTGCAAACAAAGTACACAATTGCAGCTGCGAAACACACGCGAATTATCTGAAACTCGTTCTTTTTGACAGAATTCCTTGACCGCCTTACTCTGATGATAATCAGCAGGTAGAAAATGACCACTACGATTAAGAGTATGAATACTGTCAACAAATAGATGAATCTACCTGCAATGGATCTAGTCTTGGAATTCAGACAATCAACTAGTCCTTCAGTAGATATCATGATAGACGCTATCCAGGTGAGCGCGATGACTGTGGCAACGAACGATCGTTTGTGTATGTAGCCTCCCCTGTATATTATAGGTTTACAGAGCGCCAAATAACGTTCAATACTGAGAATAGTCACGGTGAACATGGACACGTACTGACTGACACGCGATGGAAACATCACCCCACAATACATTTGCCATTCGTGAAGAAAGCATACATCTCCACCGAAGAAGATACAGTTCCATATTAGAGAATGAACCACCGAGTGAAGTAAGTCGGCGAGCGCAAGGTTCACCAGATACGAATTGGTCATTGTTCTCATAGACTGGATTCTTCCGACCACAAACATAAAAGCTATGTTACCGATGATGCCGAGTGATGTGATGGAGATGCCAATGATGAACTGAGTGTCTCTGCCAATTATACATGATAACTGCAATGCTGTGACGGTAGTATTGCCGTCATACGTTGAATTGCCGTCTAATGCAATGGTTGTGTCACTGGCCACAGTCGATGAAACGGAGGTCGTCATTGTACTTTGTAAGAATGTTGCTCCGTCTTCTTAAATACGACAAAGACCTAGGAAGCGGTAAGACGCAACGATGTATATATTCAGTTGAGGAGTCCAATATTCAATCAACCATTGCAGAGCAAACGAGCCTCTAAAAATAAACACAGTAATGACATTAGCACTGAACAATGAACGTGGTGTCGTCTACAGACGCACATTACACCTAACAGAATGCGATATTTAATGAGAAAATCAGGGGCGACATCCGTCGTATAAAAGTGAAGGTACAATTTGACGTAGACAATGCCGATTGCCATTGTCATTGAATATCATTAAAATCTATCTCGATGTAGATGGACAAGACTCGTAATTGGACACGTGTCGAAAACGCAAAGAACATACATGAGAATTATTACTCCTGTTAATGCATGTATTTCCCTACTGAGAATATGATATGTACACGCAAAGGTTAAAGCAACAATGGATGACATTTGAATAACAATGGGATTAAATGAATAAATGTGGACTGATCATGCCAAGTATAATTACGGGCTCACTATTACGATGTCTTATTATCAAGTTTTAAACGCACAGTAAGCACTTACTTGGCATCAACTAAAAACACAGTAAATTGAATGCGGTGACGATATAGTGATTGCTTATCGAACATTGATTTTTTACGACAGGTAAGGGAAGATATATATCGCCTAGGGATTTTCTCACATTGTGGTATTACGAACATTGCACACATAAATTGACATTATTGCTAATATCATGTTCAGAATAACGAGAATAATACTAGAATGTGATGGACTATACTCAAATAATGCATGATTAATCGCGCCTCTTCATTAACGCCTGGTAACACTACTACTTTGTTGATTGATTGCCGTCCAATCCTTACAGTTGAATTATGTATCAGAGAAACTTAGATTCTCATCACACGTTGTCACATGACTATAGAGATGCATAAAAGCAGCAGCTGTTTTATTGTGTCCGCATTCCACAAGGGACGAGGCGAATTATTTGCATTTTAATAACGTTTACCTACACTTTGCTCCTTGGTTGTGACATTCATTTTCGCAAACTATCGGTGTGAGATAATAAGCATTTGTTTTCGCACATATATCAGGTTAATTATACAGTGATCAAATAAATAGAGCTTTCCCATTACACACGTCCTTTGTTGATTGAGTTGACCACGTTGTGCGAACTCATCTTTACGTTTGTAATTACATGTAGACATTCGTGTGTGTGTGTGTGTCTGTGCGTGTATGTGTGCGTCTATTTACATGACGTATGATAGAAACTGTGCTGAACTTGGAAGTAAGTTGTTGAATCTCTAAAACACTGTAATGATCACACTAAATGGTTGGAGATGATAAAATGTACGAGACGGAGTAGAAAGACCTCTTTTTTTACAACTATTTTAAGTTGTTGCTGTTGTTGTTATTTCATTTTACAAGGCTGTGTTTTAGTACGCGCATATTGGTTGACATTCAGTAACATTGCCCTAAAATCTCAGTGCACTTCGCAATAGTTTGTGTCAAAATCTGCCTAGTGTAAGGCAAAAGTATGTGACTGATTTTGGTTCACTGTCAATCAAATAATATGAATAAATTGCTATTTTAGCAGCGATTTCCATAGACCATAGTGAAAACACATTTCTTTGTTAAAAACTAATTGAATATATTGTAATTTTTTTAAAACTTCTAGACATAAAACTTACTAGAAACTATATATTTTTTTACCATGTGTCACCGAGCAAAATATTGACACAACAGTGGTAAAATGACCTGAAACAGACACAACTGGCTATTTTCACTCTATTTTGTTGATCGATTGTCTTTGAACTGAATACGATGACATCATATGTTCAATTCAGTTCCTTCCTTGTAAATTATATGTCAAATATGTAAAAATAAAGAAAATGACAATATTTTTACTTTTGTGTAACGTAGTTTACCAAAATCAACTTTAATTGACATGGATTCGTGATATAGATGTAATCGGTAATTGGTAATGGAATGTGTACTTCATATCGTCTACCCATCATCCCTTCTTAACTAGGTGAAATTCATTCGCAACTTCCCAATAGCCCTATCAAATAACGTAACGCGCATTTAATATGTCTCTTCTGACTTTTATTATGCTTAAATTGTGTGTGCTGACACGTGTTCCGAACTTCGTAGATATAAGTGTTTAACTATCTTCCTATCATGGTGACATTTTGACAATTTAATGCGCTTCCCTGACATCAACTAGACCAGATCAAACACAAGAACCTTAACTAAGGTTATAACGTTACATCCATTAGTGAATCGCTATGCAACTACGTAGTCGACACTGAATCACGTGTCTACACTGATTGGTTGTCTCTTTGTACATTGTAATGGGAATGTGCGAGGAGCTGCAGGTAATGGTCACAACACTTCAGACCGATTCACTAATATATTATCCGTAGATGTTGCAAAGTTACGATAATAGGCATCTAGAATAGTGTCGCATACGACTTATTTACCACTTCCGTGTCACTGTACCCCAGACCATTCGTCCCGGTGTTATCGCTATCGCCACACGAGACTCCAGCTTGTCTCCTATACAATTTTCCTTCCGCCCACTTAATTTTAATATTCATATGACCTTTGCACTGACATCGATAGCCAATCGTATTCGACCGCGGACGTCACTCTAAATAAACAACTGAATAAATTAATATACCATATTTGGAAGATAGCGGGTAAATTCAACGTTGTTGGTGTGTTCCTTCGGGTTCCGAAGTCGCACGAAACGAGTTCATGTTCCGTTATCTTTCGCAAGTAAAACAGGTCGATATGTATTAAACATGGCATTTGTTTTCTTGTTTTAACCCCCTTATTACGCAAGCTTCCGTCGAAGTGGTGTTTTTTTCGACGATTTGTGGCATGTTGCAAAACGAACGAAACATTGCGGCATTCTTAGCGGTGGATAAGGGATCGACTATGTCGTCACATTTATGTCTCGTTTGAAAGAGAATAAACAACCGCTCAGAAAATATGTTGCTAATATTTAAGTGCGGTGCCTTGAAATCGCCTGCCCGACGTCCAAATTTCAAA